TAACATTTAAAAATTCTTATAGATAGATGTTCAAAAGTGAAAGCAAGATGCTCAAATTATATATTAGACACTCTTTATATAGAATTGATTTCTGCTTGAGTGAAACAGATGCTTGTGTGAGTTAGAGAGTATATGAATTAATTGATGGCACATCACCCAGCACAGACCTAGAATGGACAGTTTAAGGAATTGATGAGATATCGACCAGTCCACCATGTTTGTAGGATGATGGTGAAAGACAATAACACAAATCTCTGTGACCTTTTGTGTAGGGCGACATTATTGAATTCTAAATATAAACATCACTCATGCATGCCATGTTACGTGTCATAACAGCATTCAGCCATTACGTGTCATAACAGCATTCAGGCAAAGCATGACATAACAGCGTTCAGGCATAACGTGTCAAACAGCATTCAGACATAGTTTGTCATAACAGTATTCAGGCATAGCGTGTCATAACATTATTCAGGCATAACAGCATTCAGGCAAAGCATGACATAACAGCGTTCAGGCATAACGTGTCATAACAGCATTCAGGCATGCCATGGCATTAAAGCATTCAGACATGCCATGTCATAACAGCATTCAGGCATGCCATGTCATAACAGCATTCAGACATGCCATGACATAACAGCACTTTAGCATAGCGTGTCATAGCAGCATTCAGACATGCCATGACATAACAGCATTCAAGCATGTCATGTCATAACAGCATTCAGACATGCCATGTCAAAACAGCATTCAGACATGCCATGACATAACAGCACTTTAGCATAGCATGTCATAACAGCATTCAGACATGCCATGACAAACAGCACTCAGGCATGCCATGTCATAACGGCATTCAGGCATGTCATGTCATAACAGCATTTAGACATGCCATGACATAACAGCATTCAGGCATGCCATGACATAACAGCATTCAGGCATAGCATGTCATAACAGAAATTAGGCATGTCATGTCATAACAGCATTCAGACATGCCATGACATAACAGCATTTAAGCATAGCATGTCATAACAGCATTCAGCCATGCCATGTCATAACAGCATTCAGACATGCCATGACATAACAGCACTTTAGCATAGCGTGTCATAACAGCATTCAGACATGCCATGACATAACAGCACTTTAGCATAGCATGTCATAACAGCATTCAGACATGCCATGACAAACAGCACTCAGGCATGCCATGTCATAACAGCATTCAGGCATGTCATGTCATAACAGCATTTAGACATGCCATGACATAACAGCATTCAGGCATGCCATGACATAACAGCATTCAGGCATAGCATGTCATAACAGAAATTAGGCATGTCATGTCATAGCAGCATTCAGACTTTCCATGACATAACAGCTTTTAGGCGTAGCGTGTCATAACAGTACAGGCGTAGCGTGTCTGAGAAATATGACTGGTGCAGTTTTGTACTACAGACAGAGTAAGCTGTCGATTAATATCATCAGTGCTCCACAGAGACATACATTATTAAACACCCTTTACAAGTTACATAAGTTAAGAACTCCTCTCTCAATTACCTCAAGATGTAGCATCCCTTTATTGCAACTATATAACACACTCCATTACCTAGATACTATCACCTATCCCCATACATCACAACCACACACCATTACCTAGGTACTATCACCCATCCCCATACATCACAACCACACACCATTACCTAGATACTATCACCCATCCCCATACATCACCATCACACACCATTACCTAGATACTATCACCTATCCCCATACATTATCACCATACTCCATTACCTAGGTACTGTCACCTATCCCCATACATCACCACCATACTCCATTACCTAGGTACTATCACCCATCCCCATACATGACCACCACACACCATTACCTAGATACTATCACCTATCCCCATACATCACCACCACACTCCATTACCTAGATACTATCACCCATCCCCATACATGACCACCACACACCATTACCTAGATACTATCACCTATCCCCATACATCACCACCACACACCATTACCTAGGTACTATCACCCATCCCCATACATCACCACCATCTCCATTACCTAGATACTATCACCCATCCCCATACATCACCACCACACTCCATTACCTAGATACTATCACCTATCCCCATACATCACCACCACACATCATTACCTAGGTACTTACCACCCATCCCTATACGGCACCACCACGCTCTTTTAAGCTTTTTGCCTACAATAACTTTTGTTTTAACAAGTTTGCAGCAGAAGGTTTAAGATAGGTCAATTTTAGAATATATGTTGTACCACTGTTGGGGGAGAATTTGTCAAGGCTGTTGAATTTAAATAGTACAATGTTCCTTTTCTGTGATGCTCAACCATTCAACAACAATCATACAATTGCAACAAGACTAGAGCAGAGTTAACTCACATTAGTAACTTTTAATAGTACTTGTTCTTCTGGTTGTACTTTTAAGAGACATCTTGATGTAATGTTAGATATAACTGCATCAACCAAAGAAAGCGTGCAGTATACTGTAAGAAGTCCACAGTGACCATCTCCTCCAGGTCAAATGTCAAATAAGTGCAAAATATAAAAAAAAGTTTTTGTCTGGGCTATAAATTTTAAACTATTAAAGATATCTTGATGAAACTTAAAGAATGCCTGTATCACCCACAGAAGGTATGCAGTGTACTGCGATTCACTATGACCTCTACCTTTAGGTCATAGGTCATATAAGTGTAACTTTCTCTGTTAAGCCTTGTCTAGCCAGTAAAAGATATCTTAATCAAGTTTTGAGTATGCCTGTATATAGTGGTGGTATGGCCTAGTCTTGTATCAAGTACAGCAACGACATGTCTAGTTTTGTGTACAGTACAGCACACTGATAGCATGCATGGTCCTGACGAGTTTCAATAATTCATTGACAAAGCTTTGTTCAAAAATCAATGCTTAAAATCCACCATTTTTTTATTCTACTGAATCTTATCATTTGAATGTCATCCCCTCAATTGCCTCTCCTCCAACCCCCTTCCCCCCACCATACCGCCATGGACTCCTTGGAATGGTAACACATTACATTTCATTGATGCTCATATGTTGTGAGGATAGCATGTGAATAAAGAAGATTAAAATTCTTTGCTGCAGCAGGCATTTCTGTAAATAGCGTTTTGATGTTGTGAGGTTTACAGTACATCAAGCTGGAAGTTTTACACAGGAAATTAATAATAATACTCTTGGTGTGGCAAAAACAAACCAAAATAATAACTTCATAAATTTTGGTATTATAAATTCAACTGACTCAAGGGCAAGTGAGCTCATGCCATGGCACAGCGTCTGTTGTTCGTCCGTCGCCTTTGAACTTTTCCTTTAAATGACTTCTCCTGAAGAATGGAGAAGCATAAAGTCATGGTAATTGGCAGGTAACTTCCTTGGTAGGAACCCGACAGAGTTTGCAAACAAAAATGACCTTAACCTACTTTCAAGGTACCAGGGGTGAAATATGACAAGAACTGCAAACGACTTCTCCTGAATAACTGAAAGGCCTAGAGTCATAATATATAGCTGGTAGCCTCCTCCTATAGAGCCCAACAACAATAGCTACATTTAAAATGACCTTGACCTAGCTCCCTTCAAGGTTTCTTGGGTCAAATATGTCAAAAACTGCAATCTGAAGGACTGAAAGGCACATAATCGTAGTATTTTACTGATTGCTGCCTTGGATGGAGCCTAACAATGTTTGCTATCAAAATGACCTCGACCTACTTTCAAGGTCACAAGGGTCAAATATGTGAAAAAACTACAGATGTTTTTCTGTAGAACCAAAAGGTATAGAATCATAATATTTGTCTGTTTGCTTCCTGGGATATAGCCCAACAAAGTTATTAAAACAAAATGACCTTGACGTACTTTCAAGGTCACATATGTCAAATGTGTTGATCTTTGAATTACTTCTTTTGAATAACCAAAAGACACAGGGTGATGATATTTGGCCAATGGCATGATAGAATCAACCATTCAGGTTTACAGGGTCTGTGTTCCCTGTAACAACAGGTGTTGTGTTGTGTTTCCTGTAATGCTGGATGGTGCAGTGGCTGTGTTTTCTGTGGTAATTGATGGTCATCCATCCCCTAACTGTGTATATATGTACTGTTTCCAAGCATTTACCTGTTCCCCATTAAATATTTGTTTTTGTTCCCTTTTACAGTGTGCCTGTGTGTTCCCTGTAATGCCTGTTGTGTTCCCTGTAATGCCTGTTGTGTTCCTGTTATGCCTGTTGTGTTCCCTGTAATGCCTGTTGTGTTCCCTGTAATGACCGTTGCGTTCCCTGTTATGCGTGTGGGTCCTTGATCTGCTTGTCAGTGGACTCGGTAGAGGTTACATGTGCTAGGGCTGCTGTGGTAACTCACTGAGCTTGCTTCCCCTAACAGGTTTATAGTCAGTGTTAGGTACATTGGTGTGCTGGGTTTTACCACATAAGCAGTGTGTTAGCCGTTGGTGCTCTTGTGAGCCTAAGCAATGTGTGTGAAGTGATATAAAATCAATGGAGAACCTTGCCCATATAAATGACTTTGTCATGTAATGAATGAACTTAAAACTGCCAGCTTTGATTTTGCATGTAGATATTGACAAAAAAAATCCTCATCAGTATTGGCATACACACAAGATAGAGAGAGCTGTCAACTGCGGCTGTGTGACATGTGTGTATGCTGGCGACTCAGCATCCTACATATTGACAGAATGTGTTTCTTGTGAGAAGCACATGGGGACAGAGTGTGTGTTTATGCTGTTGGGCCAGGCATCCTCATAGTAATTATGTGAATGAGGGGGCAAATCCACTGGGTCAATACAATAGTGCTCAGTTTTGACAACAGATGGCAGCACCCTGTTCTCTTTTGTTGCACATGCTCAGTGGAGATTTATCGAAGCAGCCATCGTGTAATGTTTTGGTACATCATTATTGGACTAGATTTGAAATTCACATGAATCTCTGTTTGAACACTGTGTTACTGTCATTCCAGGGGCGTTACTGCAAGTCTTCAACGAAAAAGGGAAATTTGGACGCGGTCGCCTTGGCTCCTTCAGCTCTTCATTCAAGGAGTCCAAAAAAGAGGTGGTGCGCCAAGTGTTTCTCTTCACCAATCATATGTTACTAACCACACGGTCCTCGAACGGAAGACTGCACCTTGCCAAAGTAAGATTTTGTGTACATATTAATCCCCTGTAACTGTCGGGCTATAAACAGCCCTGTGCAGGCCTAGGGCCCTGCTAGGATTTCTAATGCAGATTTATGTCTATTTCTGTTCACGATATTATTTTGTTATCGATGGCTGGAGCAGTGTCATTATCATTATATTGAGGGTGACATTCCTTTTTCATATCGATGGCATGCACCAGATTACATTTCCTATCCAAAATTTGGGTTAAGCTTGCCTCTAGGATAAAGAAATCAATGCATTTCCATACCATACCATACCAGTAAATTTGGACATTGAAGTTGCTGACAGTTTTCTATTATAGATCTGCTTATGTATTCAATGCTTAAGTGTAATGTATTACTTGATACATACAATAATCATCATAACAAGTAATGTGTACCGAATTGATGTGGAGAATTTAGCTCAGTTTTAGGTATTATCAGCCTGGCATGTTATAGTGTTTATGCTAGTGTATAGTGTTCTGTAGGGATGTCTTTGTAGAGACCGGCTTGAATTGTAAATCAATATAGCTGGAAAACATTGGCAAAGGGAAATGTTAGGTGCAGCTTAACAAATATAAGGAAAATATTTCACATGTAAATTTCATAGAACAGACTATAAGTGTAGGATTCTATAGGGTTACACTCAGCTAGGCAGGAGATCAACAGGATACAGGGGGGGGGGGGCGTGTTTGGGGGTGCGGGTGGTGCGTGGGTGGTGCGTGTTTGGGTGTGCGGGTGGTGCGTGGGTGGTGTGTGTTTGGGTGTGCGGGTGGTGTGTGCTTGGATGTGTGGGTGGTGCATGTTTGAGTGTGCGAGTGGTGTGTGCTTGGATGTGTGGGTGGTGCATGTTTTGGTGTGCGGGTGGTGTGTGTTTGGGTGTGCGGTTGGTGCGTGTTTGGATGTGCAAGTGTGTGGGTGTGGATCTAGTTAGGGAGGTAAATAGACTAGTGAAGAAGGTTACCCAGCAGAAATAACTAGTGAGGGGGTTACTAAGCAGAGTCAACTAGGAAAGGATGCAAAGAGTAAAGATAAATAGCGAGGGAGGTAAGCAAGGGCGATAATTAGTGACAGAGGTAACTAGTTATACATAACTAGTGAGGGAGGTAACTTATTATACATAACTAGTGAGGGAGGAAACCAGTTATACATAACTAGTGAGGGATAAAACTGGACATACACAACTAGTGAGGGAGGTAACCAGACAGACAAAACAAGTGAGTGTGGTAACAAGTTATGCAAAACTAGTGAGGGAAGTTACCAGACAAACATAACTAGTGAGGGAAGTTACCAGACAAATATAACTAGTGAGGGAGGTAAACAGACATACATAACTATTTGGGGAGGTAACCAAGGGAGAGAACTAGTGAGGGAGGTAACCAGTTATACATAACTAGTGAGGGAGGTAACCAATTATACATAACTAGTGAGGTATACATAACTAGTGGAAGATAACTAGTGAAGGTGGTAACCAATTATACATAACTAGTGAAGGTGGTAACCAATTATACATAACTAGTGAGGTATACATAACTAGTGGAAGATTACTAGTGAGGGAGGTAACCAATTATACATAACTAGTGGAAGATAACTAGTGAGGGAGGTAACCAATTATACATAACTAGTGAGGGAGGTAACCAATTATACATTACTAGTGAGGTATACATAACTAGTGGAAGATAACTAGTGAAGGTGGTAACCAATTATACATAACTAGTGAGGGAGGTAACCAATTATACATAACTAGTGAAGTTTACATAACTAGTGGAAGATAACTAGTGAGGGAGGTAACCAATTATACATAACTAGTGAGGTATACATAACTAGTGAGGGAGGTAACCAGGGGAAGATAACTAGTGAGGGAGGTAACCAGCCAAACATAACTAGTGAGGGAGGTAACAAGGGGAAGATAAAAAGTGAGGGATGTAACAAAGGGTAGATAAACAATGAGCGAGGTAAACGGGCATACATAACTAGTGAGGGAGGTAACCAGGGGAGATAATTAGGTAGCGGGATATCCAGACAGACTTAAAATATGAAGGAGGTTACCAGGCACACATAACTAGTGAGGGAGGTAACCAGGAATACATAACAATTAAGGGAGGTAAACAGGCACAAATAACTAGTTAGGGAGGTAACCAGGGGAGATAACTAATGAGGGGGATATCCAGGCATACATAACTAGTGAGGGAGGTAACCAGGCATGCATAACTAGTGAGGGAGATAAACAGGCATACATAACTAAGTGAAAGGAGGTAACCAGGCATACATAACTAGTGACGGAGGTAACCAGGCATAAATAGCTAGTGAGGGAGATAAACAGGCATACATAACTAGTGAGGGGGATATCCAGACAGACATAACTAGTGAGGGAGGTAACCAGGCACACATAACTAGTGAGGGAGGTAACCAGGCACACATAACTAGCGAGGGAGGTAACCAGGCACACATAACTAGTGATGGGGATATCCAGACAGACAGAACAAGTGATGGAGGTTACCAGGCATACATAACTAGTGAGGGAGGTTACCAGGCACACATTTTTAGTGAGGGAGGTTACCAGGCATACATAACTAGTGATGGGGATATCCAGACAGACAGAACAAGTGATGGAGGTTACCAGGCATACATAACTAGTGATGGGGATATCCAGACAGACATAACAAGTAAGGGAGGTTACCAGGCACACATAACTAGTGAGGGAGGTAACCAGGGGAAGATAAAAAGTGAGGGATGTAACCAAGGGGGGATAAATAGTGAGGGAGGTAATCAGGCATGCATAACTAGTGAGGGAGGATACCAGGCATACATAACTAGTGAGGGAGGCTACCAGGGGAAGATAAAAAGTGAGGGATGTAACCAAGGGGGGATAAATAGTGGGTGAGGTAAACGGGCATACATAACTAGTGAGGGGGATATCCAGACAGACATAACAAGTAAGGGAGGTTACCAGGCACACATAACTAGTGAGGGAGGTAACCAGGCATACATAACTAGTGAGGGAGGTTACCAGGGGAAGATAAAAAGTGAGAGATGTAACCAAGGGGGGATAAATAGTGAGGGAGGTAATCAGGCATACATAACTAGTGAGGGATATAAACAGGCATACATAACTAGTGAGGGAGATAAACAGGCATACATAACTAGTGAGCGAGATAAACAGGCATACATAACTAGTGAGGGAGATAAAAAGGCATACATAACTAGTGAGGGAGATAAACAGGCATACATAACTAGTGAGGGGGATAAACAGGCATACATAACTAGTGAGGGAGGTAAACTGGCATACATAACTAGTGAGGGAGGTAACCAAGCATACATAACTATTGAGGGAGATAAACAGGCATACTTAACTAGTGAGTGAGATAAACAGGCCTACATAACTAGTGAGGGGGATTTCCAGTCATACATAACTAGTGGGGGAGGTAATCAGGCATACATAACTAGTGAAGGAGGTAATCAGGCATACTTACCTAGTGAGCGAGGTAATCAGGCATACTTACCTAGTGAGCGAGATAAACAGGCATACATAACTATTGAGGGAGATACACAGGCATACATAACTAGTGAGGGAGGTAACCAGGCATACATAACTAGTGAGGGAGATAAACAGGCATACATAACTAGTAAGGGAGATAAACAGGCATACATAACTATTGAGGGAGATAAACAGGCATACATAACTAGTGAGGGGGATAAACAGGCATACATAACTAGTGAGGGAGGTAAACTGGCATACATAACTAGTGAGGGAGGTAACCAGGCATACATAACTATTGAGGGAGATAAACAGGCATACTTAACTAGTGAGTGAGATAAACAGGCCTACATAACTAGTGAGGGGGATTTCCAATCATACATAACTAGTGGGGGAGGTAACCAGGCATACATAACTAGTGAGGGAGGTAATCAGGCATACTTACCTAGTGAGCGAGGTAATCAGGCATACTACCTAGTGAGCGAGATAAACAGGCATACATAACTAGTGAGCGAGATAAACAGGCATACATAAATATTGAGGGAGATACACAGGCATACATAACTAGTGAGGGAGTTAAACTGGCATACATAACTAGTGAGGGAGTTAAACTGGCATACATAACTAGTGAGGGAGATAAACAGGAGTTGAAGATAACTAGTGAGGGAGGTAACCAGCCAAACATAACTAGTGAGGGAGGTAACCAGGCACACATAACTAGTGAGGGAGATCAACAGGCATACATAACTAGTGAGGGAGATAAACAGGCATACATAACTAGTGAGGGAGACAACTATTTATACATAACTAGTGAGGGAGTCGACTTGTTATGCATAACTAGTGAGAGAATAACCAGGCACACATAACTTGTGAGCGAGGTAACCAGGGAAAGATAACTAGTAATGGTTATAAATAACTAATGAGGGAGGACACCAGACATACATTACTAGTGAGTGAGGTAACCAAGGGAGATAACTAGTGAGTGATGTTACCAAGGGAGATAACTAGTGAGGGAGGTAACCATACATACATAACAAGCCAGGGAGGTAACCAGGCATATATTACTAGTAAGGGAGGTAAGGAGCGGAGATAACAAGGATTACAGGTATGGACTGATGTCAAATAAACTGGGGTGGAAGGTAAAGAGGGGATATCACTAGGATGGGAAGTAAAGAGGGGAGATAACCAGGATTAGAGATGTGGAAGTGATGTAAAATTAATAAGGATTGGAGGTAAAGAGGGGAGATAACTAGGATTACAGGTATGGAAGTGATGTAAAGTGTACTAGGATGGGAGGTAAAGAGGGGATATACCTAGAACTACAGGTATGGAGGTGATGTCAAATTAACTCAGATGGGAGGTAAAGAGTGGAGATAACTGGAATTACAGGTATGGAAGTGATGTAAAGTTAAGTAAGGTGGGAGGTAAAGAGGGGAGATAACTAGGATTGGAGGTAAAAAAGGGAGATAACAAGAATTACAGGTATGGAGGTGATGTAAGGCTAACTAGGATTGGAGGTAAAGAAGGGAGATAACTAGGATTGGAGATAAAGAGGTGAGATAACTAGAATTGGAGGTAAAAAGGGGAGATAACTAGAATTGGAGGTAAAGAAGGGAGATAACTAGAATTGGAGGTAAAGAGGGGAGATAACTAGAATCTGAAGTAAAGAGGGGAGATAACTAGAATCTGAAGTAAAAAGGGAGATAACTAGGAGTTGAGGTAAAGAGGTGAGATAAATAGGATTACAGGTATGGAGATGATGTAAGGTTAACTAGGTTGGGAGGTAAAGCAGGGAGATAACTAGGATTGGAGGTAAAGAGGGGAGATAACTAGGATTGGAAGTTAAGAGGGAAGATAACTAGGATTACAGGTATGGAGATGATGTAAGGTTAACTAGGATTGGAGGTAAAGAGGGGAGATAACTAGGATGGGAGGTAAAGAGGGGAGATAACTAGGATTGGAGGTAAAGAGGGGAGATCATTAGGATTGGAGGTAAAGAGGGGAGATAACTAGGATGGGAGGTAAAGAGGGGAGATAACTAGGATTACAGATATAGAGATGATGTAAGGTTAACTAGGATTGGAGGTAAGGAGAGGAGATAACTAGGATAAGAAGTAAGGAACTGAGAAAAAGAAGGACATCGCATTTATGTACATATTTGAACAGTACATGTAATTCAAATCTTTTGAGCTAAAAGATATTTTAAATACATTTGATCTACCAATAATACTATGGATTAATCTGAACTTGAATACAATAAATAGATTCATCAGACCTAGAATACTATAAATAGATTCATCAGATCTAAATTACTATATATAGATTAATCTGACCTGAATACTATAAGTTGATTAATCTGACCTTAAATACTATAAATGGATTAATCTGACCTAGAATACTATAAGTAGATTCATCAGATCTAAATTACTATATATAGATTAATCTGATCTAAAATACTATAAATTGATTAATCTGACCTAGAATACTATAAGTAGATTCATCAAACCTAGACAATAAATAGATTAATCTGACCTAGAATACTATCAGCAGGTTTATCAGACCTAGGCTATAAATAGATTGATATGACCTAGAACATTAAACTATAAATAGATTTTTAGACACAGAATGAATGCCATAAATAGATTGATCAGACAAAGAATGCTATAAATAGATTGATCAGACACAGAATGCTATAAATAGATTGGTCAGACACAGGATGAATGCTATAAGTAGATTATTGGTCAAACATAATACTAAAAATAGATTGATCAGACACAGAGGGCTCCCCATTCATAATTTATTCATAGGAAACTATAAAACGAACAGTCAACAAAAGAACATCATAAAAGGATTGTAGAGTAAAGCTGGGTGAGACTTCAGTGTATCACTTTAATACATTCGATTTATAATTGGTAGCAAACTCATGATAGATAGGATGATGTGTATCAGAACACAGGAACATCTTAATTGGGTCATCAATCAAATCAATATCGCTCATCAAATATTCCTTGATTCCTTACTAATTTGTTGTTATTTTGTGTATGAGTGACCTTGTGTGGATCCATGGTCATCTCATTTGTATACGTTATGTTACCTTAGTAACCTCTTTATTACATCATAACAGTACATTTTTAATTGTTGCAGATAACAATTTATCAAATACATCATTATCATATTTTAATTATAACCTTGTTTTTTTCTTTTTCTACTTTGTCTGCATCACATGTAGAGTTGTTTATTATGCTGTTTACCAGTTTGTTTATTATACTGTTTACCAGTTTATTCATTATACTGTATACCAAGTTTGCTTGCTATACTGTATACCAGGTTTGATTACTGCTATAAATTTTGGCGAATTTCTTTATTTCATTTTTGATGTATTTATGTCTCTTTAAGTTGGCTAAAAAATAAAATCTCTTCGTCCTTCTCCCCCATTAGTAAAATTTAATATTTCTCAAATATATAATTCTATATATATTTACTAATGACATTCCAATTACTGACCTGTGAGAATTCCTGCTGTTATAGTCTCTGTTTAGGTTTTAAGGTTGTGTCTAAGGAATGACATTGTATCGGTGACATGCCAGGTCAGGTCACACACTTTTATAACATAGAAAGCTTTATAGGTAAAATTTAACTGCAAGTAAACCTGATATACAGTATTTTATCTTGTGTAAATAGAGCAGGCAGATATTACTAGCGCACTGCGTATTTATTCAAATAATTACAAAAGTTCCATTTCAGCATTAAATGATGACATGTTGCTATGGACATTTCTCCCGGTTTATTGATGCATTTCAGTGAAAATGCAATTTGAAGGCCCTTTTAAACCTGGTTTGACCATGGTGTTTGAAGACTTGAATCCCTGTAGTAAATAGTACTACAAAACCATGAAAACAGTTGATGAAATAAGGAAAACCACTATTCTTGTCTAAATTTAATTTCACAGATTTTGCCTAAAGATAGACAGGTAAGAGGTTATATACATACAGGTTTTCAGATTGCACAGCTTCAGTTTACAAAGAGGTGTATTTGGAAGGTTCTAAGTCTGATTTGCACAGGTTTCTACACTATACAGATCAATACCCTGTCCCCACTGTCAAATCTAGTCAATGGCACCTAGCCCACAGTATTGATACAGCACAGCACAACACCAACCAGAGAGATTAGCATAAATTCACATCAATAATACGCTTCTCAATCTAAAGCAAACGTAGTTAAAATTCAATTATAAGTAAGTTTCAGAATGTCTGGTACTCCTCCTGACCACACAGAACAATCAATTTCAGTAGATAGATCTGTCTATTTTGGCCAAGTGTGACATGGTTGTTTCTGAAAATAGCTGGTACAAATCTATATATACCATTGTCTGCAGGAGGCGTTATAGATTTTACAGGGCGAACAAGGCTGGAGTGTAGAATCTGATTAACTGTGGTAGGGTTAGTCTCCATCATTACATGTTGTGTAGACCAGTCCACAGTAGCTTGGAGAAGTCTCCATCATTACACATCTTGTAGACCAGTCCACAGTAGCTTGGCCGGGGTAGTCTCCATCATTACACGTCGTGTAGACCAGTCCACAGTAGCTTGGAGTAGTCTCCATCATTACATGTCGTGTAGACCCGTCCACAGTAGCTTCGAGTAGTCTCCATCATTACACATCTTGTAGACCAGTCCACAGTAGCTTGAAGTAGCCTCCATCATTACACGTCGTGTAGACCAGTCCACAGTAGCTTGGAGTAATCTCCATCATTACACGTCGTGTAGACCAGTCCACAGTAGCTTGGAGTAGTCTCCATCATTACACGTCGTGTAGACCAGTCCACAGTAGCTTGGAGTAGTCTCCATCATTACACGTCGTGTAGACCAGTCCACAGTAGCTTGGAGTAGTCTCCATCATTACACGTCGTGTAGACCAGTCCACAGTAGCTTGGAGTAGTCTCCATCATTACACGTCGTGTAGACCAGTCCACAGTAGCTTGGAGTAGTCTCCATCATTACACGTCGTGTAGACCAGTCCACAGTAGCTTGGAGTAGTCTCCATCATTACACGTCGTATAGACCAGTCCACAGTAGCTTGGAGTAGTCTCCATCATTACACGTCGTATAGACCAGTCCACAGTAGCTTGGAGTAGTCTCCATCATTACACGTCGTATAGACCAGTCCACAGTAGCTTGGAGTAGTCTCCATCATTACACGTCGTATAGACCAGTCCACAGTAGCTTGGAGTAGTCTCCATCATTACACGTCGTATAGACCAGTCCACAGTAGCTTGGAGTAGTCTCCATCATTACACGTCGTATAGACCAGTCCACAGTAGCTTGGAGTAGTCTCCATCATTACACGTCGTATAGACCAGTCCACAGTAGCTTGGAGTAGTCTCCATCATTACACGTCGTATAGACCAGTCCACAGTAGCTTGGAGTAGTCTCCATCATTACACGTCGTATAGACCAGTCCACAGTAGCTTGGAGTAGTCTCCATCATTACACGTCGTATAGACCAGTCCACAGTAGCTTGGAGTAGTCTCCATCATTACACGTCGTATAGACCAGTCCACAGTAGCTTGGAGTAGTCTCCATCATTACACGTCGTATAGACCAGTCCACAGTAGCTTGGAGTAGTCTCCATCATTACACGTCGTATAGACCAGTCCACAGTAGCTTGGAGTAGTCTCCATCATTACACGTCGTATAGACCAGTCCACAGTAGCTTGGAGGAGTCTCCACCATTACACGTCGTATAGACCAGTCCACAGTAGCTTGGAGTAGTCTCCATCATTACACGTCGTATAGACCAGTCCACAGTAGCTTGGAGGAGTCTCCACCATTACACGTCGTATAGACCAGTCCACAGTAGCTTGGAGTAGTCTCCATCATTACACGTCGTATAGACCAGTCCACAGTAGCTTGGAGGAGTCTCCACCATTACACGTCGTGTAGACCAGTCCACAGCAGCTTGGGGTAGTCTTCATCATCTCTCAATCTAGCTATATGACTCTATCCCTCTCCCAAAATGTTTCCAGAGTGTTTCCTGTTTGTTTTGTTATTTTTTTCTCTCAGTGTTAGAAACAATTCTTTGCAAATGGTTTCAAATCTTAGTTGGTTTATTGAATTCAAACCAATTAATTGTTGTTTTAAAATGCCTGCCCTTGATTCCATCTCTGTGATTGTGCCTTTGACTGGTTTGTATAACTAGCATGCTGTCGTCACGACCACATCAGTAGTTAAGGTTACACTCAAAACTTACATATTGTTGTATCACTTGGGTTTTCCCCTCTCCCTGATTTCACTACCTGTATATGTCAGACAGACAAACCGTGAGATCGTTCCTAGCACTGTCAGTGTCTGCGCGACCTTGCGATGTTGTTTCCAATCACCTTCAGTGATGTCCCCGATACAAGTCCACTCCTCATTTTTCTGTGGGACATATGTTCTTTTTCTTTTCCTTACGTCAACTGATGTTTTCTATGTAGTGTTTTATCGTATCCACTATCAAAAACTGCATGGAGACACTATCCTTGTGTTATATCAGCTGATTCCTTTAAAACTAATCCCTTTTTTGCAGCTATGCTGATTCATGTGCTATATGATATGCGATTTAAAACTACTAAATACTTACATATTTTTTATATAAAACTGTAGAATTATTTACAATATAATGAGTATGCCTTCCACCTCGGCTGGGTGATATTTAGTTTATTGGTCTTGCAATTGTTAGGATTTGAAATGAATTGTGTTAACTAATTATTGTTGATGTTGTAAACGCACTAACACATTGTATTTAGATATTTGCAAACATAATTTAGTTGTTATAATATCATTTCATTTTTTTATTTATTTTTTGTATTGTAACATGTGTTAGTTAAGAAATGGTAGATATTTTGTAGCAGTAGGAGTTGATTATGAAGATGGATTCTTACAGATTGTTGGTAATAGTTCACCACTGGATATGTGGAAAGCAATACGGTTATTTCTACCGTATCAAAAAATGTCTAAACTTTTCCATTTATATTTAAGTGAAATGAAATTCAAAAGATAAATACCTCAATTATAAAAGGGTTTTATACTTGGTCTGAGGTTGTCCCAAAACTGACATATTTTTTTAACATTACACTCACTCATTTTGTTCTTTATAGAGACAATTTGATAAACTTACAGGCTATGCATGTGTGTTTGTACTGTAAAACTCATTATACTGCCAACATTTGCCCAGAGAAATCTTGGCATTATAAAGGGGTTCAGAGATAAATTGAGAGAAATGTATAGATGAAATCTTCAGAAAAAAAGAAAAAAGGACATTGCAATATGTTGGAGGTAAACGAGGTGACAACTGAAACGAGGGTTAATATATCATGGGTTTACTGTACCTGTGTATCAGCACACACAGATTCAGGTATATTCAACAAAACTTTTTATAAGGGAGACACATTGTGTATCCATTCAAGGAAATGAGATGGCCCTGGTACAGTTTATAACTCACTGAGATGGGATTTCGATGTATATCAAAAGGCAAAAGGATTGCCTGATAAATTCATGTCTCCAAATTTTATTTTACTATACCTACTAATAACAAAAATATTATTTGAAGATACTGAAAATCAGCAAAAATCCATTTTCAACATCATTAGCTTACGCAACTGGTAAGTACACGTATGGTAGAGGTCATATGGAGGTTACAGTTTACTGGGGAATATCTTCCATTGAAGGAAGGTTAACCCCAATGTTTGCAGCACAACACATGGCTGACAACTGTTATGGATGACATAGGATACAGGTCTCAGTTGTTTTCTGCTAATGTTTTATAAGCTCACCTGGTCCAAAGGACCATAGTGAGCTTATCGTGGTGTAGCGTCTGTCGTCCGTCATCCTTCGTCCGTCGTCGTCCGTCGTCAACTTTTTCTCTAAAACCCATCTCCTCCTAAACGCCATAAAGGATTTCAACCAAATTTAGTCTGAAGCATCAGTAGGTTCGACCCCTCGGGCTAGGGGACCAGGGTCCAAAGAGGAAAATTATCTAATATTTTGCGTTAATATGCTATACCCCTTTACTGCCTGAGTGGATTGTACAAAATTTGGTCAAAAACATTATTTCTAAATTGAATGAGGTTGATTTGACCCCTGCTGTCCTAAGAAATGGTACAGCTAGATTATCATATTCTATGGTGTAGTTTTCATAAATTGGCCCCTGATTAGTTGAAAGTCAGATATCGTGGTCCCAGTTGGGTTAGAACATAGATCTTGTCTGGTTTTGAGGAAATTTCATATAAAGATGTACTAATTAATGCATTCAGTTGTAATGACTTATATATAAAACCAGGTGAGCAATATAGGTCAAATGGACCTCTTGTTATAACTATTTATAAATGAAGTAGTATAATTTTTGAAATGTAATGATCTTGTGTCTAAGTTGAGGTTGTACAAATATTATTTTTCAGAAAAAGGGCTATTGAAAAAAGGCTGCAGGATTCCTGCATAAAAAAGTTCCATTTGTATCAGTAGTCATGGTAGCATATTTGTATGAATATTATCTGCTCTGTTAGTAGTCATCGTAACATACTGTTATAAGTCATGTTAGCATATTTGTATGAATATTATCTGCTCTGTCAGTAGTCATGGTAACATACTGTTAGAAGTCATGGTTGCATATTTGTATGAATATTATCTGCTCTGTTAGTAGTCATGGTAACATACTGTTATAAGTCATGGTTTCATATTTGTATGAGTTATCTGCCCTGTTATCATGGTTACATGTTTGTTTGAGTTATCAACCCTGTTATCATGGTTACATGTTTGTTTGAGTTATCTACCCTGTTATCATGGTTACATGTTTATTTTGCAGCATTATGGAAAGATTCCTCTGATTGATTGTACACTGATTGAGGACCCCAGCACAGAAATCTGCTTCTTTGATGACGAGAGTAAGTATCACACACTTACGTGTGATATAGAACTAGGATTACTTAATCTGAATTTGTATACAAACTTAAATTCAATTATTACATCGCCCCCCCCNCTGACCCTTGTATCATATTTTGCAAAAAGAAAACTGTTGAGATGCATGTACATAGAATTGATAATTTCAATGTAATTTTTTTTTATCTTTCAGCTGCTTCAGTTGACTCCAGCTTCAGTTTACTAAGTGTTACATCTGGTGCAACACTGCTGTCCACACAGTCCTGTGAGAGGGACGCGCGTCCAGATTACAATGGACTAGATTTTAAGATCATAGTTGATTCCAAAAGTGGCCCACCCACCACTATCACTCTCGTGGCCTCTACACACCAGGAGAAGATAGCCTGGTGCAGTGATATCAGCCAGGTACTGGGCCCTAAAACAATCTCACTGTGTGTTATAAGGACCCCAGAACAAAGTTATAGTATTACTGGGATCAGGGTGTCTGTCCATCCGTTGGATTTTGAGACGTGATTTAGTTCATGTGAAAACATGTCCATATTACTTTTATTCATTATCTGGTCTGAAGGACCGAGATGAGCTTATTTAATGCACTATCATGGTATCTGTCGTTTGTCTGTTCAAACAACTTTTCCTTCTAAACCGCTGAAAGGAATTTCACTGAATTTGACAGGAAATATCCTTCAACATTATACAAATGGAAGCCATCAGTTGAGAGGCAGGGCCAAAAAGGTTTTCAACTTTAAAATGGTTGCTCAGATCCCCTCTCTATAATGAATATAAACAGCTTGGCATGGAAAGAAAAATAAAGATATGATAATAATGTTTCTGAGATTTGTCTGACCCATCTGGGAATTTATTCCCTGCATTATAACTTTGAAATGATGGATTAGCAGGGATTTTTAGTTAGTCTTTGGCTGAAAGTTCTAGTTTATATAGATTTCCTCCAGTAAAACTTTGGTGTCTAACATTGATATTACAAAGTAACATCATGGAAGCTCCATGTGATAACAGGTCTAGCTTGTTGTACATTTTGACAGATAATTTGAAGTGTAGTTGATTTTAAAGTTTTAAAAATGGTAATTAATTGACAGTTTAGTAGTTTCCTTTAGAGTCGTATCCTCGACATGTTTAATCTGTATTCAATATTCAGTGTAAATTAAGTCTGTATTCCAATTACCTTTGTACATTTCAGTGTATTGAAAACTTGCACTACAGTGATTTGCTCAATACCTCCATGAGTGAGTCATCTTCAGTCACGATGCCCCAGTCTGTCAGGTAGGTACAATAACCTTTGCAGTGACCTTCACAAGGTCAAGGTCATCAGATTATGTTATTTTGTGATGTTGTGACCTTTTCTGGTTTTGTTGAGGTCACCCTGTTTGTGTTGTGACATCATAAGTAACATTTTACATGTTTTGATCTGTTTAGTGTTTCTCTTTTATTAACCACAGTAACTATAAGAGTATCTTAGACAGTATCTATTAAATAGAGTCTGTTTTGTATTCTACTACCACCTAAAATCTTTGCATGTTGTATTTTCTCACCTGTTTAATTCAACATAGCATGTGTATTTATTTTTTGCTTCACGAAACATTTTAAGGAATGTATCAGTTTTGTGTCATCAAAGTTTGATCCTAAACCTGGAATTAGCCTCTAGATATGCAAGCTAAACTACTGATATAAATTGTACTGGTAAAAATTACACTAAATAAGTTATGAAGCAAAAAAACACATGCTCTAGGTTGATCATGATGATGTAAATCAAGTCTAAGTTGATTATGATGATAGGAAAAATTTCAAACTTGTTCCTGTTCCATCTTAAGCTTCTTTTACTTTATAAAGCTTGTTAAATGAAAAAAATAATGTAACAGATTCAGGTACTAAACAGCAATGCTGGAAGTTTAAATGTCAATTGAGAATTGTTGAGGTTCAGATACTAAACAACAATGCTGGCAGTTAAAATGTGAATTGAGAATTGTTGAGGTTCAGATACTAAACAACAACGCTGGAAGTTAAAATGTTAATTGAGAATTGTTGAGGTTCAGATACTAAACAACAATGCTGGAAGTTAAAATGTTAATTTAGAATTTTGGAGGTTCAGATGTAAGGTGACAATATATGAGGTATAGGTGTTAATTAGGTGACAATGTTAGTGGTTCAGATGGTATAGTATATTTAAAAGATTAAGATAATAAAAGATAATGTAAGAGGTTCAGATAAAAAAGGACAATGTAAGAGGTTCAGATAATAGAGGACAATGTAAGAGGTTTAGATAATAGTGGACAATGTAAGAGGTTTAGATAAAAATGGACAATATAAGAGGTTTAGATAATAGTGGACAATGTAAGAGGTTTAGATAAAAATGGACAATATAAGAGGTTTAGATAATAGTGGACAATGTAAGAGGTTTAGATAATAGAGGTGATATAAGAGGTTTAGATAATAGTGGACAATGTAAGAGGTTTAGATAATAGAGGACAATGTAAGAAGTTTAGATAATAGAGATGATATAACAGGTTCAGATAATAGAGATGATATAAGAGGTTCAGATAATAAAGACAATGTATGAGGTTCAAATAATAGAGGACAATGTAAGAGATTCAGGTTATAGAGGACAATGTAAGAGGTTCAGATAACAAGAGGTTGTATAAGAGGTTCAGATCATAGAGGTGATATAAGAGGTTCAGATAATAGAGGACAATGTAAGAGGTTTAGATAATAGAGGACAATGTAAGAGGTTTAGATAATAGAGGAAAATATAAGAGGTTCAAATAATAAGAGGTTATATAAAAGGTTCAGATAATAGAGGACAATGTAAGAGGTTCAGATAATAGAGGTGATATAACAGGTTCAGATAATAAAGATGATATAAGAGGTTCAGATAATAAAGACAATGTAAGAGGTTCAGATAACAAGAGGTTGTGTAAGAGGTTCAGATAATAGAGGACAATGTAAGAGGTTCAGATAAAAAGAGGTAATATAAGAGGTTCAGATAACCAGAGGTTGTATAAGAGGTTCAGATAATAGAGGACAATGTAAGAGGTTCAGATAAAAAGAGGTAATATAAGAGGTTCAGATAATAGAGGACAATGTAAGAGGTTTAGATAATAGAGGTGATATAAGAGGTTCAGATGATAGAGGACAATATAAGAGGTTAAGTAAATAGAGGACAATGTAAGAGGTTTAGATAATAGAGGACAATGTAAGAAGTTTAGATAATAGAGATGATATAACAGGTTCAGATAATAAAGACAATGTATGAGGTTCAGATAACAGAGGACAATGTAAGAGGTTCAGGTAATAGAGGACAATGTAAGAGGTTCAGATAACAAGAGGTTGTATAAGAGGTTCAGATAATAGAGGTGATATAAGAGGTTCAGATAAAAGAGGACAATATAAGAGGTTAAGATAATAGAGGACAATGTAAGAGGTTTAGATAATAGAGGTGATATAAGAGGTTCAGATGATAGAGGACAATGTAAAAGGTTCAGATAATAGAGGACAATGTAAGAGGTTCAGATAATAAGAGGTTATATAAGAGGTTCAGGTAACAAGAGGCTGTATAAGAGGTTCAGATAATAGAGGACAATGTAAAAGTTTAGATAATAGAGGTGATATAACAGGTTCAGATAATAAAAATGATATAAGAGGTTCAGATAATAAAGACAATGTAAGAGGTTCAGGTAATAGAGGACAATGTAAGAGGTTCAGATAACAAGAGGTTGTATAAGAGGTTCAGATAATAGAGGTGATATAAGAGGTTCAGATAAAAGAGGACAATATAAGAGGTTAAGATAATAGAGGACAATGTAAGAGGTTTAGATAATAGAGGTGATATAAGAGGTTCAGATGATAGAGGACAATGTAAGAGGTTCAGATAATAGAGGACAATGTAAGAGGTTCAGATAATAAGAGGTTATATAAGAGGTTCAGGTAACAAGAGGTTGTATAAGAGGTTCAGATAATAGAGGACAATGTAAGAAGTTTAGATAATAGAGGTGATATAACAGGTTCAGATAATAAAAATGATATAAGAGGTTCAGATAATAAAGACAATGTAAGAGGTTCAGGTAATAGAGGACAATGTAAGAGGTTCAGATAACAAGAGGTTGTATAAGAGGTTCAGATAATAGAGGACAATGTAAGAGGTTCAGATAATAGAGGTGATATAACAGGTTCAGATAATAAAAATGATATAAGAGGTTCAGATAATAAAGACAATGTAAGAGGTTCAGGTAATAGAGGACAATGTAAGAGGTTCAGATAACAAGAGGTTGTATAAGAGGTTCAGATAATAGAGGACAATGTAAGAGGTTCAGATAATAGAGGTGATATAACAGGTTCAGATAATAAAGATGATATAAGAGGTTCAGATAATAAAGACAATGTAAGAGGTTCAGATAACAAGAGGTTGTGTAAGAGGTTCAGATAATAGAGGACAATGTAAGAGGTTCAGATAATAGAGGTGATATAAGAGGTTCAGATAATAGAGGTGATATAAGAGGTTTAGATAATAGTGGACAATGTAAGAGGTTTAGATAATAGTGGACAATGTAAGAGGTTTAGATAAAAATGGACAATATAAGAGGTTTAGATAATAGTGGACAATGTAAGAGGTTTAGATAATAGAGGTGATATAAGAGGTTCAGATGATAGAGGACAATGTAAGAGGTTCAGATAATAGAGGACAATGTAAGAGGTTTAGATAATAGAGGACAATGTAAGAGGTTCAGATAATAGAGGAGATATAAGAGGTTGAGATAATAGAGGTGATATAAGAGGTTTAGATAATAGTGGACAATGTAAGAGGTTTAGATAATAGTGGACAATGTAAGAGGTTTAGATAAAAATGGACAATATAAGAGGTTTAGATAATAGTGGACAATGTAAGAGGTTTAGATAATAGAGGTGATATAAGAGGTTCAGATATTAGAGATGATATAAGAGGTTCAGAAAATAGAGGACAATGTAAGAGGTTCAGATAATAAAGGTGATATAAGAGGTTGAGATAATAGAGGTGATATAAGAGGTTTAGATAATAGTGGAGAATGTAGGAGGTTTAGATAATAGTGGACAATGTAAGAGGTTTAGATAAAAATGGAAAATATAAGAGGTTTAGATAATAGTGGACAATGTAAGAGGTTTAGATAATAGAGGTGATATAACAGGTTCAGATAATAGAGGTGATATAAGAGGTTTAGATAATAGTGGAAAATGTAAGAGGTTTAGATAATAGTGTACAATGTAAGAGGTTTAGATAATAGAGGTGATATAAGAGGTTAAGATGATAGAGGACAATGTAAGAGGTTCAGATAATAGAGGACAAGACAGAGGTTTAGATAATAGAGGACAATGTAAGAGGTTCAGATAATAGAGGATCATGTAATAGGTTCAGATGTTTAAATTGTGTCAATGTTAGATGTTCAGATGTTTAGTTACAATGTTAGAGGTTCAGATGTTAGAGGTTCAGATATTAGGTGGCAGTGTTAGAGGTTCAGAAGTTTAAATTGTGACAATGGTATATGTTCAGATGTTTAGTTACAATGTTAGAGGCTCAGATGTCCAACTATTCACAGTGTTTATTGTGTTAAGGAGTGCCTTATCAGACAACAAACCGGCTCGCTCACGTCGCAATAACACACGCTCGTGGAAAAAGACTGTTCCACATAATATACATGCCCCTAAGTTGTAAGTATGTAAACCACAGCAGTATTACCCTATCTTGGTGGAGGAAGTAGAATTTACACATTACAGGTGTATCTAGGTGGAGGATGTATAACTTTACACATTACAGGTATATCTAGGTGGAGGATGTATAACTTTACACATTACAGGTATATCTGGGTGAAGGATGTATAACTTTACACATTACAGGTATATCTGGGTGAAGGATGTATAACTTTACACATTACAGGTATATCTGGGTGAAGGATGTATAACTTTACACATTACAGGTATATCTGGGTGAAGGATGTATAACTTTACACATTACAGGTATATCTGGGTGAAGGATGTATAACTTTACACATTACAGGTATATCTGGGTGAAGGATGTATAACTTTACACATTACAGGTATATCTGGGTGAAGGATGTATAACTTTACACATTACAGGTATATCTGGGTGGAGGATGTATAACTTTACACATTACAGGTATATCTGGGTGGAGGATGTATAACTTTACACATTACAGGTATATCTGGGTGGAGGATGTATAACTTTACACATTACAGGTATATCTGGGTGGAGGATGTATAACTTTACACATTACAGGTATATCTGGGTGGAGGATGTATAACTTTACACATTACAGGTATATCTGGGTGGAGGATGTATAACTTTACACATTACAGGTATATCTGGGTGGAGGATGTATAACTTTACACATTACAGGTATATCTGGGTGGAGGATGTATAACTTTACACATTACAGGTATATCTGGGTGGAGGATGTATAACTTTACACATTACAGGTATATCTGGGTGGAGGATGTATAACTTTACACATTACAGGTATATCTGGGTGGAGGATGTATAACTTTACACATTACAGGTATATCTGGGTGGAGGATGTATAACTTTACACATTACAGGTATATCTGGGTGGAGGATGTATAACTTTACACATTACAGGTATATCTGGGTGAAGGATGTATAACTTTACACATTACAGGTATATCTGGGTGAAGGATGTATAACTTTACACATTACAGGTATATCTGGGTGAAGGATGTATAACTTTACACATTACAGGTATATCTGGGTGAAGGATGTATAACTTTACACATTACAGGTATATCTGGGTGAAGGATGTATCACTTAACACATTACAGGTATATCTGGGTGAAGGATGTATAACTTTACACATTACATGTGTATCTGGGTGAAGGAAGAATAACTTTACACATTACAGGTATATCTAGGTGAAGGGAGTATAACTTTACACATTACAGGTATATCTGGGTGAAGGATGTATAACTTTACACATTACATGTGTATCTGGGTGAAGGAAGAATAACTTTACACATTACAGGTATATCTAGGTGAAGGGAGTATAACTTTACACATTACAGGTATATCTGGGTGGAGGATGTATAACTTAACACATTACAGGTGTATCTGGGTGGAGGAAGTAGAACTTTACACATTAAAGGTGTATCTAGTTGGAGGATGTATAACTTTACACATTACAGGTGTATCTAGGTGAAGGATGTATAACTTTACACATTACAGGTTTATCTGGGTGAAGGATGTATAACTTTACACATTACAGGTGTATCTGGGCAGAGGTTTTATTCATGAGTTGTCATTCCTGACATTTGGTTTATCATTGGCGTCATTGGACCTTGGATCCTTTCCTTTGATCAACACCAGGCAAACTGTTAACATAAGTGACTCGGCAAAATGGAATTGTTATATTTCCTTTGACATAAGCTCTTCTGAGGATGGTAACCCTGAATATAAAAATTAACCAACCTCCCATCTAACTCCTAAAAACTGATAATATTTAGATTATTACCGATTGATACCAATACCAAGATTTATTGTATAACATAGTATGTTTTCTTACATCATTATTTTACTCTGTTTGTCATCCTAACAGCACTGTACACTGAAGGCTTGTAATATATTGTACTGGTCATCCTAATGGCATTGTACACTGAAGGCTTGTAATATATTGTACTGGTATTATCGTCCTAACGGCACTGTACACTGAAGGCTTGTTGTAAATTGTACTGGTATTGTCATCCTAACAGCACTGTACACCGAAGGCTTGTAGTATATTGTACTGGTATTGTCATCCTAACGGCACTGTACACTGAAGGCTTGTAGTATATTGTACTGATATTATCGTCCTAACGGCACTGTACACTGAAGGCTTGTTGTATATTGTACTGGTATTGTCATCCTAACAGCACTGTACACCGAAGGCTTGTAGTATATTGTACTGGTATTGTCATCCTAATGGCACTGTACACTGAAGGCTTGTAGTATATTGTACTGATATTATCGTCCTAACGGCACTGTACACTGAAGGCTTGTTGTATATTGTACTGGTATTGTCATCCTAACAGCACTGTACACCGAAGGCTTGTAGTATATTGTACTGGTATTGTCATCCTAATGGCATTGTACACTGAAGGCTTGTAGTATATTGTACTGGTATTGTCATCCTAATGGCACTGTTCACTGAAGGCTTGTTGTATATTGTACTGGTGTTGTCATCCTAACAGCACTGTACACCGAAGGCTTGTAGTATATTGTACTGGTGTTGTCATCCTATCGGCATTGTACATTGAAGGCTTGTTGTATATTGTACTGGTATTGTCATCCTAACAGCACTGTACACTGAAGGCTTGTTGAATATTGTACTGGTGTTGTCATCCTAACAGCACTGTACACTGAAGGCTTGTTGTATATTGTACTGGTGTTGTCGTCCTAACAGCACTGTACACCGAAGGCTTGTTGTATATTGTACTGGTATTGTCATCCTAACGGCACTGTACACTGAAGGTTTGTTGTATATTGTACTGGTATTGTCATCCTAACGGCACTGTACACTGAAGGCTTGTTGTATATTGTACTGGTATTGTCATCCTAACAGCACTGTACACTGAAGGCTTGTTGTATATTGTACTGGTGTTGTCATCCTAACAGCACTGTACACTGAAGGCTTGTTGTATATTGTACTGGTGTTGTCGTCCTAACAGCACTGTACACCGAAGGCTTGTTGTATATTGTACTGGTATTGTCATCCTAACGGCACTGTACACTGAAGGTTTGTTGTATATTGTACTGGTATTGTCATCCTAACGGCACTGTACACTGAAGGCTTGTTGTATATTGTACTGGTGTTGTCATCCTAACAGCACTGTACACTGAAGGCTTGTTGTATATTGTACTGGTGTTGTCGTCCTAACAGCACTGTACACCGAAGGCTTGTTGTATATTGTACTGGTATTGTCATCCTAACGGCACTGTACACTGAAGGTTTGTTGTATATTGTACTGGTATTGTCATCCTAACGGCACTGTACACTGAAGGCTTGTTGTATATTGTACTGGTGTTGTCATCCTAACAGCACTGTACACTGAAGGCTTGTTGTATATTGTACTGGTATTGTCATCCTAACGGCATTGTACACTGAAGAGGCTTGTAGTATATTGTACTGGTATTGTCATCCTAACAGCACTGTACACTGAAGGCTTGCAGTATATTATACTGGTATTGTCATCCTAATGGCATTGTACACTGAAGAGGCTTGTAGTATATTGTACTGGTATTGTCATCCTAATGGCACTGTACACTGAAGGCTTGCAGTATATTGTACTGGTATCGTCATCCTAACAGCACTGTACACTGAATGCTTGCAGTATATTGTACTGGTATTGTCATCCTAATGGCATTTTACACTGAAGAGGCTTGTAGTATATTGTACTGGTATTATCATCCTAACAGCACTGTACACTGAATGCTTGCAGTATATTGTACTGGTATTGTCATCCTAATGGCATTGTACACCAAAGAGGTTTGTAGTATATTGTACTGGTATTGTCATCCTAATGGCACTGTACACCGAAGGCTTGTAGTATATTGTACTGGTATTATCATCCTAATGGCATTGTACATCGAAGGCTTGTAGTATATTGTACTAGTATTATCATCCTAGCAGCATTGTATACTGAAGGCGTGTAGTATATTGTACTGGTATTGTCATCCTATTGGCATTGTACTACGAAGAGGCTTGTTGTGTATTGAACTGGTATTATATACAGGTTACTACACCCATTTCTATATCTGATATAAATCTAGAAATTCTGCTAGGTTTTCGTCCCAGCCAAGACCTAGTCTAACTATATCATGTATGTAAAAGATATTTTACAAAAAAACATCATCAGTTCTGTTTCCTTGGCTTAAATTTTAGACAGATGTTTTGTATATTTTCCCACCATTTCCCTTAAAATGAAAAGGATGTACAATATATATATGCATATATGAAGTAAAGGATACACATAGTATCATGTGTTCCTGGAACAGCATGACCTCACCAAAATGTCTGCTTCTTATACCCAGGTTTTGTAATTGAACAGAATAAGACAACTCACTTTTTCTCTTACAGGTCAGATCCCAAGTTGTTCCGAGATGATGTAGATATCAAGTTTAGTAGAACTCTCAACTCCTGTAAAGTCCCACAGGTAAGTATCTAACAGCATTTTCGTGTAAAGTCCCACAGGCACGTATTTTACACAATTGTCAGGTAAAGTCCCACAGGTAGTTATCGAACAACACTGTCAGGTAGGGTCCTACTGGTAGGTATCTAACACCACTGTCAGGTAGGGTCCCACAGGTAGTTATCTTACACAATTGTCAGGTAAAGTCCCACAGGTAGGTATCTAACACCACTGTCAGGTAGGGTCCTACTGGAAGGTATCTAACACCACTGTCAGGTAGGGTCCCCCTGGTATGTATCTAACACCACTGTCAGGTAAGGTCCCACTGGTAGGTATCTAACACAACTGACAGGTATCTAACACCACTGTCAGGTAAAGTCCCACAGGTAGGTATCTAACACCACTGTCAGGTAAAGTCCCACTGGTAGGTCTCTAACACCACTGTCAGGTAGGGTCCCACTGGTATGTATCTAACACCACTGTCAGGTAGGGTCCCACTGGTAGGTATCTAACACCACTGTCAGGTAGGGTCCCACAGGTAGGTATCTTACACCATTGTCAGGTAAAGTCCCACTGGTAGGTATCTAACACCACTGTCAGGTAGGGTCCCACAGGTAGGTATCTAACACCACTGTCAGGTAAAGTCCCACTGGTAGGTATCTAACACCACTGTCAGGTAGGGTCACACAGGTAGATATCTAACACCATTGTCAGGTAGGGTCCCACTGGTAGGTATCTAACACCATTGTCAGGTAGGGTCCCACTGGTAGGTATCTAACACCATTGTCAGGTAGGGTCCCACTGGTAGGTATCTAACACCATTGTCAGGTAGGGTCCCACTGGTAGGTATCTAACACCATTGTCAGGTAGGGTCCCACTGGTAGGTATCTAACACCATTGTCAGGTAGGGTCCCACTGGTAGGTATCTAACACCATTGTCAGGTAGGGTCCCACTGGTAGGTATCTAACACCATTGTCAGGTAGGGTCCCACTGGTAGGTATCTAACACCATTGTCAGGTAGGGTCCCACTGGTAGGTATCTAACACCATTGTCAGGTAGGGTCCCACTGGTAGGTATCTAACACCATTGTCAGGTAGGGTCCCACTGGTAGGTATCTAACACCATTGTCAGGTAGGGTCCCACTGGTAGGTATCTAACACCATTGTCAGGTAGGGTCCCACTGGTAGGTATCTAACACCATTGTCAGGTAGGGTCCCACTGGTAGGTATCTAACACCACTGTCAGGTAGGGTCCCACAGGTAGGTATCTAACACCATTGTCAGGTAGGGTCCCACTGGTAGGTATCTAACACCATTGTCAGGTAGGGTCCCACTGGTAGGTATCTAACACCACTGTCAGGTAAGGTCCCACTGGTAGGTATCTAACACCATTGTCAGGTAGGGTCCCACTGGTAGGTATCTAACACCATTGTCAGGTAGGGTCCCACTGGTAGGTATCTAACACCATTGTCAGGTAGGGTCCCACTGGTAGGTATCTAACACCATTGTCAGGTAGGGTCCCACTGGTAGGTATCTAACACCATTGTCAGGTAGGGTCCCACTGGTAGGTATCTAACACCATTGTCAGGTAGGGTCCCACTGGTAGGTATCTAACACCATTGTCAGGTAGGGTCCCACTGGTAGGTATCTAACACCATTGTCAGGTAGGGTCCCACTGGTAGGTATCTAACACCATTGTCAGGTAGGGTCCCACTGGTAGGTATCTAACACCACTGTCAGGTAGGGTCCCACTGGTAGGTATCTAACACCACTGTCAGGTAGGGTCCCACAGGTAGGTATCTAACACCATTGTCAGGTAGGGTCCCACTGGTAGGTATCTAACACCACTGTCACGTACGGTCCCACTGGTAGGTATCTAACACCACTGTCAGGTAGGGTCCCACTGGTAGGTATCTAGCACAACTGTCAGGTAGGGTCCCACTGGTAGGTATCTAACACCATTGTCAGGTAGGGTCCCACTGGTAGGTATCTAACACAACTGTCAGGTAGGGTCCCACTTGTAGGTATCTAACACCACTGTCAGGTAGGGTCCCACTGGTAGGTATCTAACACCATTGTCAGGTAGGGTCCCACTGGTAGGTATCTAACACCAATTGTGTGTTTATTGTTAAGTTCTATGAAAACTTTTAAAATAATTGACTAAAAGGACACCATGAGTAAAATTTGAAAGGCTGTTTTTGCCATTTATGAATTTGATCCTTAATGATCCCAAACAGCTAGAGCTTTGACAATTGCACGTTGACCTTGCCATTTGACTTTTACTGTGTGACCTTGACTTACAGATCCGCCATGCCAGTGTTGAGCGGTTATTGGACCGCCTCACAGATCTCAGGTTTCTCAGTATTGACTTCCTCAACACATTCCTACTGACCTACCGCGTCTTTACCACTGGCAAAACAGTCTTGGAGGCGCTCAAGCGTGTCTACAAAAACCCAGAGTGTGGCAACTTGGAGTCTGGGTCCTCCTCCTGTCAGTAAGTAGATTGGCTACCAAGTTGTCCAAGTTTGATACTACATTTGCAAAGTTCTTTTAACTTTTAGTAATTTTAGCTCACCTGGCTTAATCTTGGTACTCCGGGCGGGGTGAAATGTTCATTCTGACACAAGAAGCCTATATATTTGTCGTTATTCTGCTTGTGAATAAGGCATTGGTAGAACTTGTATATGCTTCCTAACAATATATTGTAATTATTTGTGAAATGCTGTTTTACATTTACAGCATATATTATGTTTATTTTTTTGCTGCTTAAAATCTGCATTTGTTTAAACATAAGTGTGAAATAAGAAAAATTAAAAGAATAAATCTTGTTTGAGCATCTGGCCTTGACATGGAGAAATATTGAAGGTTATGACTTTGTTTCAGATCCTCCTCAGATACAGATATCTATGGTGCAGGGGGAAGTCCCCCACAGTTCACGGGGGAACCTCCATCGACACACAAACTCATGATCAAACCACACGCAGAGAAACCAAGGAGAATCAGTACAGGGTGTATGAATATAGAGGTCACAGGGTCAACTTTGTCAAAACCCCCGCACGCACAACCACAGCCACTAACCAAGGACCTGGAATCAGAAACAACTAAACCTAAAGACCAACAACGACGGGTGTCCTTCCATAAGTGTAAGTTTTATACAACAAACATCCTTAACTTAACATCCTCACTTCCCACTGATAGTCACCAACAACAACGGGTGTCCTTCCATAAGTGTAAGTTATACAACAAACATCCTTCACCAACACCTTAACATCCTCACTTCCCACTGATAGTCACCAACAACGATGGGTGTCCTTCCATAAGTGTAAGTTATATAGAACAAACATCCTTCACCATCACCTTAACATCCTCACTTCCCACTGATAGTCACCAACAACGACCGGTGTCCTTCCATAAGTGTAAGTTATATACAACAAACATCCTTCACTTAACATCCTCACTTCCCACTGATAGTCACCAACAACGACAGGTGTCCTTCCATAAGTGTAAGTTATATACAACAAACATCCCTCACTTAACATCCTCACTTCCCACTGATAGTCACCAACAACGACAGGTGTCCTTCCATAAGTGTAAGTTATATACAACAAACATCCCTCACTTAACATCCTCACTTCCCACTGATAGTCACCAACAACGACGGGTGTCCTTCCATAAGTGTAAGTTATATAGAACAAACATCCTTCACCATCACCTTAACATCCTCACTTCCCACTGATAGTCACCAACAACGACAGGTGTCCTTCCATAAGTGTAAGTTATATACAACAAACATCCCTCACTTAACATCCTCACTTCCCACTGATAGTCACCAACAACGACGGGTGTCCTTCCATAAGTGTAAGTTATATAGAACAAACATCCTTCACCATCACCTTAACATCCTCACTTCCCACTGATAGTCACCAACAACGACAGGTGTCCTTCCATAAGTGTAAGTTATATACAACAAACATCCCTCACTTAACATCCTCACTTCCCACTGATAGTCACCAACAACGACGGGTGTCCTTCCATAAGTGTAAGTTATATAGAACAAACATCCTTCACCATCACCTTAACATCCTCACTTCCCACTGATAGTCACCAACAACGACAGGTGTCCTTCCATAAGTGTAAGTTATATACAACAAACATCCCTCACTTAACATCCTCACTTCCCACTGATAGTCACCAACAACGACGGGTGTCCTTCCATAAGTGTAAGTTATATAGAACAAACATCCTTCACCATCACCTTAACATCCTCACTTCCCACTGATAGTCACCAACAACGACAGGTGTCCTTCCATAAGTGTAAGTTATATACAACAAACATCCCTCACTTAACATCCTCACTTCCCACTGATAGTCACCAACAACGACGGGTGTCCTTCCATAAGTGTAAGTTATATAGAACAAACATCCTTCACCATCACCTTAACATCCTCACTTCCCACTGATAGTCACCAACAACGACAGGTGTCCTTCCATAAGTGTAAGTTATATACAACAAACATCCCTCACTTAACATCCTCACTTCCCACTGATAGTCACCAACAACGACGGGTGTCCTTCCATAAGTGTAAGTTATATAGAACAAACATCCTTCACCATCACCTTAACATCCTCACTTCCCACTGATAGTCACCAACAACGACAGGTGTCCTTCCATAAGTGTAAGTTATATACAACAAACATCCCTCACTTAACATCCTCACTTCCCACTGATAGTCACCAACAACGACGGGTGTCCTTCCATAAGTGTAAGTTATATAGAACAAACATCCTTCACCATCACCTTAACATCCTCACTTCCCACTGATAGTCACCAACAACGACAGGTGTCCTTCCATAAGTGTAAGTTATATACAACAAACATCCCTCACTTAACATCCTCACTTCCCACTGATAGTCACCAACAACGACGGGTGTCCTTCCATAAGTGTAAGTTATATAGAACAAACATCCTTCACCATCACCTTAACATCCTCACTTCCCACTGATAGTCACCAACAACGACAGGTGTCCTTCCATAAGTGTAAGTTATATACAACAAACATCCCTCACTTAACATCCTCACTTCCCACTGATAGTCACCAACAACGACGGGTGTCCTTCCATAAGTGTAAGTTATATAGAACAAACATCCTTCACCATCACCTTAACATCCTCACTTCCCACTGATAGTCACCAACAACGACAGGTGTCCTTCCATAAGTGTAAGTTATATACAACAAACATCCCTCACTTAACATCCTCACTTCCCACTGATAGTCACCAACAACGACGGGTGTCCTTCCATAAGTGTAAGTTATATAGAACAAACATCCTTCACCATCACCTTAACATCCTCACTTCCCACTGATAGTCACCAACAACGACAGGTGTCCTTCCATAAGTGTAAGTTATATACAACAAACATCCCTCACTTAACATCCTCACTTCCCACTGATAGTCACCAACAACGACGGGTGTCCTTCCATAAGTGTAAGTTATATAGAACAAACATCCTTCACCATCACCTTAACATCCTCACTTCCCACTGATAGTCACCAACAACGACAGGTGTCCTTCCATAAGTGTAAGTTATATACAACAAACATCCCTCACTTAACATCCTCACTTCCCACTGATAGTCACCAACAACGACGGGTGTCCTTCCATAAGTGTAAGTTATATAGAACAAACATCCTTCACCATCACCTTAACATCCTCACTTCCCACTGATAGTCACCAACAACGACAGGTGTCCTTCCATAAGTGTAAGTTATATACAACAAACATCCCTCACTTAACATCCTCACTTCCCACTGATAGTCACCAACAACATTCTCAAACTACAGGATTCTGTATCAAGTGAGCTACTGATATTCGTCCTCGTCAGCTGTCGGTAAACACTGTTAAACTCCATGCAGTTCCACTGTGGGGATGATATCAGTGTAAAAGCCTCACGTATTGGTATTTTTTTTGAGAGCCGATTGAAAATTCAACATGGCTGCCAAAAGCATCATCTTACAAATAATATCAAGCCTACTGGCTAATATTTAAGTATATTGTAAATTTGAGGAATTTTATATGACAGGGTGTCATCTGTTAACAGAGCATACTTTATCATGATAAGAATTACAGACACCGTTTTGAGGATATATATTTTAACACAGTAGAGGAACAGGACTAAATTTTTTATCAGACTGACATTGCTTAAACCTTGCTGAAATAGTCAGTTCATCATTTAGACCAAGCAATGTTTATTTTCCACCCTATCACTTGTAGGTGTCATCATTCTGACCAAGCAATGTTTATTTCCCACCCTATACCTTGTAGGTGTATCTCACACCATTGTCAGGTAAAGTCCCACAGGTAGGTATCTCACACCATTGTCAGGTAGGGTCCCACAGGTAGGTATCTCACACCATTGTCAGGTAAAGTCCCACAGGTAGGTATCTCACACCATTGTCAGGTAGGGTCCCACAGGTAGTTATCTCATACCATTGTCAGGTAAAGTCCCACAGGTAGGTATCTCACACCATTGTCAGGTAGGGTCCCACTGGTAGGTATCTAACACCATTGTCAGGTAAAGTCCCACAGGTAGGTATCTAACACAATTGTCAGGTAAAGTCCCACAGGTAGGTATCTCACACCATTGTCAGGTAGGGTCCCACTGGTAGGTATCTCACACCATTGTCGGGTAAAGTCCCACTGGTAGGTATCTCACACCATTGTCAGGTAAAGTCCCACAGGTAGGTATCTCACACCATTGTCGGGTAAAGTACCACAGGTAGTTATCTCATACCATTGTCAGGTAGGGTCCCACAGGTAAGTATCTCACACCATTGTCAGGTAAAGTCCCATAGGTAGGTATCTCACACCATTTTTTGGAGAGGGCGTTTCTAAGTTGAGATAACTTGTGCCAAATCCTTTTTGTTGAATGACAAATAAAATATGTGTAAATCAAGGTGTATCTCTTGAAATTTTTGTTGTCTGCCATTTAATTTGGTCATGAAATGATGAAAACAAAGATTACCTTTTGAGTATTGTACTAGAAAGTGAATGTTATAATTCTACTACTGTATACATACATTGTACAGACTATTTGGTTTCCTAGAACTAATCGTTTAATCATGATGTAAAATAACATAACATACCTGTACCTGTGTGTATAACATCTCTAAGTGATGTTTATTTTTATGTTAACAGTAGAAAGAGGTGATTCTGTGGACACGGGTGACAGTGATGACAGCCGGTCAGAGCTTGCATCTTACCTGTTCCCGCCGCGGGCAAAGCTGGCTCCGATAGCTTCCCTGGAGACGTTGTGTGACCCTGAAATCACCCTCCCTGATGTGCCTGCCATCACAACTAATGATTTGTTGACCACAGGCATCATGCTACCAGATGTTCCCGGAGAATCTTCAGTCGACGATTTTGACAGCAAATATTCAATAGACTTTGCCTCACCATCGGACTATGAAAATGAATTGTCCGACACAAGACAGAGTAGTTCCTACACGCTTGTGTCTGCAGCAAGTTCTGACACTCTAACACCAGGCACACCCCGTATAAGTCCAATGCCCTCCCCCCGTATCAGCCCGCGGATGATCCACGGCTACACAAACGGCTCTCCTCGTAGTATGAGTCCACGTAGGCCATGTTCTCCAAGCAAACCTTTGTTTACTGGGTCTGACTTCAAAATTCTGGACGCTCTAGCACTGTCTCCTACTAGTAGTCCTATACGAGTGATTAAACCGCACACTGTCTCATCTCCCATCAGAATCCCTTCCCCCATTAGGTCAACTTCACCGAGTCATCAGATTGCCTCCCCCATACGGCGCCCTTCGTCACCAGGACCACAACAGGTAACCTCACCCATTCGCCGCCCCTCCTCGCCCCGTCTCTCCTCCCCTGGACGGTCGCCAAGCTGCAGCCCTAAGCCACGGCGGGCGCCCTCACCCATAAGTGCCAGTATGTCATCACCCAACATCCTCATGCCGCATATCAAAATCAGACCAAGTAAGTACAATGTAATTACAGTGTATGTGGCGTGTACTAGCTTTTTATTGTGTACAACCTATGCAATGTATAAGTATGTTGTTTGCGAATTAAAATTTTGGTTATGATCTACAATTTAACTCCCAAACTACATATGATAAATGTAACAATGTGACCAGTGGTGGTGTGGTCAGCACAATCACATGTCACCAAGATTGTCAGGGTTCGATTCCACGATCAGTTATGTAAAAGTATGAGGTCACCTTCTCAATTGTGTGGGTTTTCCCCAAGTCCTGACACACCAGGTTTTCTTCCACATTAGGATTCGCTGTGTAACTTTATCTGGGCAAATAAGAGTGATTTATACAAGTTCATTTTATTTGTTCATGATTGTTAAAAATTAAAGTAATCAGATTTTGTTGATGTGTTGACATTGTAGACCTGTTGACATTGTTTCCTATATTGTAGCTAAGCATTGGTGTGTTGACATTGTAGACCTGTTGACATTGTTTCCTATATTGTAGCTAAGCATTGATGTGTTGACGTTGTAGACCTGTTGACATTGTTTCCTATATTGTAATGTTGACATTGTAGACCTGTAGACATTGTTGTGTATATTGTAGCTAAGCATTGATGTGTTGAGATTGTAGACCTGTTGACATTGTAGACCTGTTGACATTGTAGACATTGTTTCCTATATTGTAATGTTGACATTGTAGACCTGTTGACATTGTTGTGTATATTGTAGCTAAGCGTTGATGTGTTGACATTGTAGACCTGTTGACATTGTAGACCTGTTGGAATTGTTTCCTATATTGTAGCTAAGCGTTGATGTGTTGACATTGTAGACCTGTTGACATTGTAGACCTGTTGACATTGTAGCCCTGTTGACATTGTTTCCTATATTGTAGCTAAGCGTTGATGTGTTGACATAGTAGACCTGTTGACATTGTTTCCTATATTGTAGCCAAGCGTTGATGTGTTGACATTGTAGACCTGTTGACATTGTTTCCTATATTGTAGCCAAGCGTTGATGTGTTGACATTGTAGACCTGTTGACATTGTTTCCTATATTGTAATGTTGACATTGTAGACCTGTTGACATTGTTGTGTATATTGTAGCTAAGCGTTGATGTGTTGACATTGTAGACCTGTTGACATTGTTTCCCATATTGTAGCTAAGCGTGGGAGTACAGAGGTGGAGTCCATTGGCAGTATTACACCCCGCAGCAGTATCGTAACACTGATCGAAGGCTCCCCGCCCCCAGCCAAGGCTGGAGCTGTCGTTACGTCTTCACGCAGGTCAAAACGAAGGTCAGTCAAGGTCATACTTACTGGATGAAAACATGGTAAATTGATGTCACAAGATAAAATGTTAAAAGTTTATCTCAAAGAATTATTACCCAGCTATTACCCAATCTTTCAGTATAAATAAATGCATTAATGTCCTATATGATGTTTGACCTGTATGATGTTTAGGATTTCATTTACTGTAGAGTGAGTAATGTATTTGTTCTGACTGTGTTATGTAGGTCAAGCTCCTCAACTGCCATGACAGCATTTGCTGTGGCCACTGCTGGGTCAGCCTATCAGTCTGAACAACAACAGCAACAACAACAACAACAGCAGGGACAGCCAATCGTACAGACACCCACCACCCAACCCCAGCAGTCCTCCCAACCTGCACAGCCTCCTCAGCAACCTCCCAAACGTTACCTCAGCACCGGTGCAGGTAGGTCACCATGCAGTCTCTCAGAAGCCTTGTTAACGTAACAACAGCTACTCGGAACCCTCCTATTTGTAATTGTTATCACAGCACATAGAAACCTCAAAAGTATTTACCAGCATATGCTATTCACCATAATTTGGATTTCTGGATTCTGATTATTATTTTCAGTTGTCACCGATCCTCGTCTTCTAAAGAAGCGTGAATCAGTGATCAGCACAGCAGCAACTATGCGTGTCCTAAACATCATCAAACACTGGGTCTCCAAGCACCAACAGGTCAGTGGCTACTCATAACCAAGGTCAGGTCAAGGTTTTGTTCAAAACATTTTCATTTGGTTGGAAAACATTGATTTGATACAGGTACATTAAAAACAATCAGTAAAACATTAACGGGTGACATTTTCACTGGTGTTCCTAAACGAAGCTGTATACAGTTAAAACATTGTACTTTCACTTTGAGTATGACCTTTAACTTCAACATTTCTACAGGATAGTCTTTGTTCTTTTTACAGTACTGTGAGTGCGACCTTGAACATAACTTTGACCTTTAACAGGTCTTTGTGTGTAAACTTGAGCTAGATTTCGACATTGAATAGGATTTTGAATGTAATTTTGAGCTTATATTTCACCTTTTTATATGACTTGGATTATGTCTTTTAGCTTATCCTTGACCTTTTATAGAGAATTTTGATTTGACCTTGAGTTTATCTTTGTCCTTATTACAGGACTTTGAGTGTGACATTGAGCTAAAGCGAGCTGTGATTGACATGCTGGAGGAGATGGCCTGCAATACTTCACTGGTTCCCACGGAGCAGAAGGCTGCAGCCTCCATCCTTCGCACCGTCACCAAGGAAAATGAGGAGATCAAGAGAGTTGACCTCACTAAACTCCTCACTCCACCAGAGGTAACCTCTCACACAAAACTAGGTCAATATATCTTGACCTCATTTAACTACTCGCCTGATCACCTGACAAGAAGTTAGACTTTAACCTCTCCCCTATATATATCTGGCTCATTTCGTCTGTACTTAGTCTTTACACTGCAAACATACAGATTTAATGATTAAAAACAAGTGATGACCAGACAACATCCAATGGGGAGTCTCGGCTACTTTAATCCAGGTAACATGTTTTGAGTCTTCGTCAGAACTTGCAGACGTTTGAACTCATTCTATCTTGTGTAAGTGGAAAACATTTTGAAATTAAATCTAAAAGATGATAAATACAGCCAAATCTGCCATGGATATAACCTGTCTACAACAAACAGTTGTCTTTAATTACTGTTTTATACTGGTCCCCTTATCAGTCTTAAAGTTAACATTTTTTTTACTTTGAGGATGAACATTCAGTTGGTGTCTCTGTTGTCTGTTAACCATAATGGACTCATCCCTATCAATGCATGGCAGAGTCTACTAAAGTTACATAGGGGTGAAAGGGTTAAAATTAAGATACTGCAATGAAGCATATTTGTATCCAAATGTCACAATAGGCAAAGAACATACCATTATTATGTGTTATGCCTACAGTGCATTAGTTACTGAAGTGCCCTTGGGTTTGGTAACCAGTGTGTTTTACTGAGGGTATGGAGTGGGATCTGGCTATCTAAGACGAGGATAATACAGACAATTATATAGCATATGAGGTGGGTGGAACTTTAGAAGGGATTTAACCAATTATTGACTAATTCTGATTTTAACATTAAATCTATTTTAAAGGTATCAACGAAGGACACATTTGACACCCTATCTGCGTTGGACATAGCAGAGCAGCTCACCTACCTCGACCATAAGATATACATAGGCATTAGGAGCGAGTAAGTATACCAGCTTGTCTACAAGATGTATATTATTATAAATAATAGGAGTTATGTACATAGGATACTGCACTTTATTCACATTTCAATGGTAGCCGAAAACTATTCATGTATGCAACAAAACAGCAATTTTGATGTTCAACATAAGGGTACAATGTGTGACACAAATATTTTAGTAAGTGAGGTCTATAATGCCCAGAGTGACTTTGTTAAACAATGTTATATATTGACTGACTTTGTTAAACAATGTTGTAAATTGACTGACTTTGTTGACACAGAGAACTGCTGGGTCAGGCGTGGATGAAGCCAGACAAGTCCCATAAAGCCCCACATGTCCTACTAGTCAGCAAACGCTTCAACGAGGTCAGTAAAGGTCATGTTCACTATTATTCCAGGTCAGCTTCAGTGATGTTAGAAGGTCAAGGTCAATGTTCTCCACTAACAAGATTGCTCTTGATCTGCATGAGGAAAGATAATAAATAAATAATTTTGAAATTGGTTTCATATCAGCTAAAATCTGAGATTCAAATTAATCTAACTTAAAATGAAATTAAGAATTGAATATGAAAAAACTATCTTGGTGTTTAATTTGTATGTATGCGTTGCTAGGTGAGCCGTCTGGTTGTGTCGGAGATCGTGGGCAGACAGAACCTACAAGATCGTGTGTCTTGTATAGAGAAATGGGCAGCCATCGCTGATATCTGTCGCTGTATGCACAACTACAACGGCGTGCTCCAGATCTGTGCTGCCTTCGTCAACAGCTCGGTCTACAGACTCAAAAAGACGTGGGAAAAACTCTCCAAACAGGTCATTGTTATTGAATCTGTGAAAACTTGAAACTCTAGTTGTCAAATTTTATATACAAATACCGTAGGGATGGTCAATATTCAGGTCTTGTGTCCAAACATATACAGAGGTATGGCCCTTTCTTCATTTTTTCGATACTGAAGTTTGTTGGAACTATGGATTGCTAACAATATTTTACCTGATTTTAAATGATACAGTAAAGAAAACACTTTGAAAGAAGATAACAAAAAAATCATTGAAGAAAACTGAAAGGTTTTTTTCTGTTAAAAATAAATGTTTAAATAAAATCATTTATAAATCTTAAACATCTTAATATGAGAAATAGTGAAGAATTATATGAAAGGAAAGCTGTTGAAAGCTTCTATCAATTTCTTTATTTTTTGATAATGACTCTTGCACCTTTTTTCAGACAAAACAGATGATAGAACGCCTACAGGTGCTGGTGTCATCCGATGGGCGCTTTAAGAACATGAGGGATGCCCTCCACAGGTACACCTATGGGGACTCCTTAGCCGATATGTACGAGCATTGTCACATTTGTCTTCTAGCACCTCCTGTCTGTGTCACTTCTCACAAGGAATGGTAGCTTGGCATGTGTGCCCCCTCCCTGTACATCCCCACTTTTCCACTTGGCAATATCAGACTCGTTTAGTGGTTCTACAGGGCCTATTTACTCCAACCATAGAGTTTTTACCTCTCCTGAATCATCTTCTAATTCATTGCATTTTATAACTCACCAATAGAGTCATCACATTTTTTGACTCACCAAAGTATAGTGCCTAATGTCTTTTAACTCACCAAAGAATCACGTCTTTTGACTCTCTAACATAGGACTGAATCATCTCACTTGACCTAACAATTTATGTTGTATCCCCTTTAATGATTCTCCAATATAGGGTCTATCACCTTTCCTGACTCTGGAATATAGTCAGTTACCTCTCTTGACTCGCATAGTGCATCATGTCTTCACTCACCTGTCTATCACCGTCACATCTTTTGACTAACCAACTTTATTGGAACCTTCCTTTCTGTATCTGTGCCGCAAGTCTGTTGTGACCTTAGTTCTATAGCGTTTGTGTTACTGGAGAGTCCCTTGACCCTGTCACACTGTTTAATTACAAGCACCTGCCCATCTCCCGCCACTTAGAGGTAGACAGTAGCTGTGACCCTCCCTCAATGCCTAGTGTTCTTAGTCTGTAGAAAACTGCACAAGTTTAGTTCCATTGTAGCATCAATTATTTTTATTCCATGATTGATTTTTGCAGAAATATCAATAAGTATGTTTTATAATATATATAGACACATGTCAAATTCTAGTTTTATGCAAAATGCACTTGAATTATTTTTATTTAAACACATTTGTTTTGCAATTTTTGCAAATAATTAATTTGTTTTGGCACCATTTTAATGAATGATGAAAAATATGTTTATGAATCTATAAATATATTGAAGGTGAATTGATGTTTGCTAAACTGAATCTTTATGTGTATATCTATAAAGGGAAACAACTGACTTGATAAACTGTGTGATGTAGACAGAAAAGCCACAATTAAATAATCACAGGCTACGTACATATGAACAACTATTTCACCAGACTGAAATATCTATCAGATATATAATGATAAATAATGAATAAACATACAAGCAGATGGATACTTGAAAATACATTTAGTTGATCACATGTGTTGACAACAGTCTTGGGCCAAATTAAAGGTATTTTTCCCCTCTATAGTTCATGCATAATTCTACCTTTTTGTTTTGTTTTTCTGAAGTCAGTAGAGCTGCTATTGAAATGACTGTTTCTATCATATAAGAGAATTATCTTAATTGCTTTCTCACAATAATGTTAGTTCTTTCCCTAGACTGGTTTTTCAAAATGTTACAAATTATTCAAAGAAAAGTATTTCTATTGCACCATTTTGCTCTATACCTTTACAAAATTTTATAACAAAATTGAGAAATCTCTTTCAGGATGCAAATTTTAATCTGGCTCGAGACTGTATATGATGTAATGAAATATCTTAACGCGTTATGGGAGACAGGGAGAGAATTTGAGGGAGGTATGAAATA